TTACCGCAATCTGATGAACGGTATGGCAGCGCATAAAATACGAACAAACAAAAATTAATTTTTATATATTAGATAATGATTGTGAAGTATTTTTGGAATTATGTTCTTTATCGGACGATACGGATTTGGCGGGTGGGGGCTAGGCGACAAAAAGTGTAATTAATGCCTCCTCTACACTACTCGCGAAGTAGATCGAAGTTGGACGAGGCGAATAGTGTAGAGAGGTACTTCGATTCGCTTCGTGCAACCTCGTTTCGCCTCGGGCGACTTCCGATCGCTGTCGATTTTTTGCGCCAGAGTCAAAGGACTTCGCAAAGTACACCGAAGTTACACGAAGCGTCTCACTACACTATTCGGCTTACGCCAGTTATAAATATTTTTTTATATATACAGTGGAATCCGTTTATAATGACATCGAAGGGAAATAACAAACACGTCATACTAAGCGGACGTCATATAAAGCATTTTGTAGAAAATAAACAATCTCCAGTTTTTGTTAGTATGTATTTATTTTAATAGAGAAAAATCTTTAATTAAAGTAAGTTATTCTTAATAATAAATTCTTGTTTTTAAAAATCATTGAGTATGTCGTGTGACCAACCCCAAATTCCCTTGCGAGAGATGAGTTGGATTCTCCATTTTCTAAACTGCACGTGCACTGACGTTGAGATTTAATTTTTTTTCACAAATCACTAACAAACAATCCCGTGACCTTCAACAATCAATTACCCACTGAGACTGAAAACAAAAAATAGCCGTGCACGCGCCGAACGTCGTGGGGTATCAATTGACTCTCCTGAACACTGCCGAAGGTGTTGGGATTTATGTCGGTCACTAGAACCGGACACAATTTAGAAAAAATGGGTCACAATAAGCGACATGTCACTATAAGCGAAGTCATTATATCCGACTTTATTATAAAGAATTTTGTATGAAAACCAAACTTCACTGGTAATTACGTCATAATAAGCGGTTGGTCAATATAAGCGGAGTCATAATAAACGGATTCTACTATATAAATATTAAATATGTAGCTTTCTACATAATTATTTATTTAGTTAACGCATTGACGTCGTACTGTTCACACAATTAGGTACTTCGTCAAAGTTACTTCGCGAGTAGTGTAGAGGAGGCGGCACTACACTACTCGCGAAGTAACTGTGACGAAGTGCTCGTCGAAGTCGATCGCAGCAGTGACTACACACTAGTGCTACTTCGCGAAGAGTTCAGTCGTCTTGAGTCTCCCGCACATTTAACATGAATGACGTTCAAGAGGCAGCTGCTATACGTTCCTAATTATGTAAATAGTGCGACATCTATGCGTTAACTAAATAAATAATTATGTACAATGCTACATATTTAATATTTGTATATAAAAAAAATGTTTATAAATGGCGTAAACCGAGTAGTGTAGTGAGACGGTTCTTGTGATTTCCGGGTATTTCGCGAAGTCCATTGACTCTGGCGCAAAAACCGACAGCGATCGGAAGTCGCCCGAGGCGAAGCGAGGTTGCACGAAACGAATATAAGTACCTCTCTACACTATTCGCCTCGTCCAACTTCGATCTACTTCGTGAGTAGTGTAGATAAGGCATAGGATTTTTCCGTCACGAATAGGCGTGCCAACCGTCCCGGATTTTCCGGGAAGTCCCGCTTCTGAGTAAATTATGGACCGTCCCGCCGTAACCCCTTGCGGGACGCCTTTTGTCCCGGAAATCAGTGATTATATGATATTAGTATCTATTTCGTACCAACTACACCTTAGCCGTAGCTTCGATACCACTTTCAAATCATCAGCAGAGAGAGTTTTCTCCGCGTAATATACCCAAGTCCGGGATGTCGAGCTGGGTAATCTCAGAAATGCCTTTTTTGGAGATGGCAAGCCTAGTCATGACCCCTTCTGACTTAGTCTAGACGGCCTTGGCGACTAAGGAAGCGAGATGGAATAATATCCATTTCCCTCGCACTTTTTCTTAACTTGCCATGAAAGAAGTATTATTTGATTTTAAATGACGCTTCATTATAATAGACGCTAGTAATTGATTTATTTGTATTTGTTAATCAATAATATAATACGTTTATCAATAGTAATATACTACAAAAGGAACTTCGTTCCAACCGAGTGTTCCATGACACTCATGCATGTTTAATTTATTTTAAAGCATCGGGGTTGACAAATAAGCACATAGTCTACTCAATGGTATTTGGGTGCTGTGGCCCATAGACATCTCATTTATCCTCGATTAAGAATCAAAATACAGATGCGTTGTCACCCCTGAGGACTAAGGTGGAATGCCTCATCTCTATATACAAAATCAATTGCTGTCCTTTAGTCTAGCTAAAACTCAAAAATGGCTCGACCTATTTTGATGAACTTTGTTTTGTGTATTTGAGTTCACCATATCATTCGGGGACCCGAATGGTTTAAAAACTCAGTTGGAGCCGATAGCAGTTGTTGTCGTCGAGATCCAGAAATCACCCGTGCAAAGCCGAGGCGGACCGTTTTTTTCCAATATAAAGGGTCTCCGGTTCTCTACACTCACCATACGAAACAGTAGCCTTAAGATGTTATTTTACATTGGTATTCTGTGAGAGCGTGGTACTACCCTGATCGAGCCAACAAGCAGCATTTTTTTAAAAATCAAATAATATAAACTGGCTTAAAATAAAATCAGTAGTGCAATTACATATCTTGCAATTATATATCTTCCAATTGCAGTTTTCTTTATTAATCTATTATCAGGAAGATTATGCTGCCCATTTCCTGGTTCAGTTTCACCCTGTCGTCTCTTCCGTCATTCATTGGATGATTTGGGGAAGTCGATATTCTTACACAGGTAGTCGATGGATGCAGAGATAGAAGAGTCCTATGTTCATCGGTGGACTTGTGATGGGCTGAAGTGTAGTATGTGTGTGATTGCGTGCGTACGTGCGTGAGTGTGTGCATGTGTTTGTGTGCGTGTGTTTGTGTAAGCGATTAATACTAATACATTTACACAACACAAAGAGACCAAGCCATCACCTGTCAAAACAAATGTAATTAAGATTCTCACTACAGTTACACAATCAAAACTGCAAGTATGGTTGAAATTTATATGGAAGCAGTGTGAAAGTTATGAAAGAAAAAAGAAAGTTATTGTTGCATACATTATAAATATACCTATACAGTTGAATTGAGAACATAATCCTATTTGCTGAAGTAAGTTAATAAAATAAAAATAGTATTTTCTTCTTACAGTCGAAACCATCTAAGCTTACACAATTTCAGAAAAATAATCATAATCACCACAATTATTTTGGACCAGAACTTTGACCCAGCCTTACCCTTGGAAATACCAAAAAAATGGCTTTTGTGTCTTAATAGTTTTTGGCAGAACAATTGATACAATTTAATATATTTTTGAGACATGGTACATGTGTTGTTGTATTATAATATTTATGAACATTATCACGTCTTACAGGCATTGGCATTGAAATAGTATATAATATAATTCTTAGTTTTTAAAATCATATCATATTTTTCATACATGGTACAACTATGATGCAGCCACATTATGGGTTTATGTATTTATGTTACTGTTTTGTATGGTGAATGTAGAGAACTGTGAACCATTTTTACTAGAAACAAAGCATTCCATCTTGGTCCTCAGGGGTGACAACACATGTGCATTTTGATTCTTAATCAAGGATAAATGTTAGATTTTTTGGGAGCCACAGCATCCATTAACCATCATGTGGACTGTGTGCTCATTTGTCACCCTTATTCTAAAAAAGTCGATTAATAAAATATTAAGTTCAATCTAATATTAATGTTATTATTACTAATGAAAAAATAGGTAAATATAAAGTTTAAATAAATAGTAATGAACAATATTAACATAAATACGAAATTTGCTTAAGAAAAAATATATATAATTGAGTTAATTACATATTGACCCTGAACCTTTTATATGTGGTTTAACCACCGTAAAACCCGTTTCTTGTATTAGGGATCGTGAGCTAGAGTCTGCTGACAGACAGACGGACGGACGGACAGCGGAGGCTTAGTAATAGGGTCCCGCTAGTTATACGTGGTAGAGCCATGCTGCAGCTATATTAGTAGTATATAGTTGAAGCACCAATGGGTCGGCTTGACTGGGGAAGGACCAACGTAAAATAGCAGATTAATAAAGGATAGCATAGAGAAATTTGTGTAAGTGTGACAAGGATGTAAGACCATGTCAAAACTAATGTCACATTATTATACTTCTATGGTTTTTTATTCTTCTGGGGTCTCTGTCAAATGTCAAATGGCAACTAAGAGCGTGATAAACTTAGAAATGAGGATATCCACAGTAGAACCAGAGTAACCGACATAGCCCAACAGATTAGTAAGCTGAAGTGGCAGTAGGCGGGCCATATAGCTCGAAGAGCCGACAAACGATGGGGAAGAAAGGTTCTCGAGTGGCAGCCTCATACCGGTAGGCGAAGTGTAGGGCGACCCCACACTAGATGGAGTGACGACCTGGTAAGACATGCAGGAAGTCGATGGATGTAGATGGCTCAGAAACGTGCTTTGTGGCATTCCTTGGGGGAGGCCTATGTTCAGCAGTGGACTTATGAAAGGCTGTAATGATGATGATGATGTATTGAATCGAATTGAATAAACGGGCTGTTTTCCCACACCTCCACGTCTAAGCACGTATTTTGCGTGTGTTCCTCAAGGTGTATTACCTTTTGATAGGAGTGGTGTCGGGATTAGGGGACACTCCCCTCTCCTCCATTCCCTGCCCCCCCCCTCCAGCCAAAAGATTTTAAATTTTAGCCATCATCCCAAACTGAATGTGATTTATGGGCAACAAGTACAAATAATATACACACTTATTTTCCCATTCGCCTATATTACTTATTCTCAACCTTCTCTCCAAATTTGCGTGGATATTGCAAGATAACCCTGTATACATGTGATGTTAAGTATTAAGCATACTACTTAGTGAACAAATAAATAAAACAAAACTCACCATCTCAACTTTAGGAATGTGATCAACTGTCTCACTGTTAATGGCAGTGGTTCTCAGAATGTGCATGCCATACATATCCTCTTTTGGTGTTACTATCACTTGATCTTTACAAGAACAACGAAGGGGTTTTTGATAAGCTGGGGAGCTTTTAGCATGTGATGGTGTGTTTAAACCAGCAACTGCAGTTCCATATGAATACCCAGTCCCTGAATTGTCTTTTGCTCTTTTCATGTTACTTGATAGGTAGGACAAACGGCTGGAAAGGGGATGAAATTATTTACTAACTTGTAAATACTATATGAAAGGAGAATGCCACATCATGCCCTAACTTGTACAAAAGAGGTAAAAATATGAAAAATAACCTTATGAATTTTAAGTTTTTTTGTGATACATTGTTATTTTGTACAACTTGTGGTAAAATGTTATTTAAAAAAAGGAATTCAACAATTAATATTTACATTTCCAGACTTCTCTTATAACATCTGCGTTTCTTTGTACAAATAAGTACATATGTACGCATAAAGTATCAAACAATACATATTTCTATTAAAATATATATAAGTCTTTGTCATATAAAAATGTTACTTGTCAATTTTTATTTTCAATTATAATTATAAGTCGACAATAATCATGAATTGTATTAGATAATTACTGAATAACAATGATAAATTTTTGTGCATTTTGTGAAATGATACACACACGTCATTGTGTCAATATCATAAGTACATATGTCAAATTAATGTCAAATATTTTCACACATTGACTAATTTGTACTTGTGAAATATATTGATTATGATTATATCACGTTTTTGCTTGTGCTGATTCCCACTTTCTTTACTGTTGCAATTTTTTCCTTGCTTTTGCGACGACTTATCCTTTTATTAATATACGGACTTGATCACGCCTACTTACTGCTAATTACTACGGACATTCTGATAATTGCATCCAGGATGTTGAGGTGCACTAATAGTCATCTTTGCGTCGATAGGATGCAGGGGCATTTTTTGTCCTCATTTCGATTTATGTTCTTACCTCTTCTTTCAACATGGATATCATTGCAACAGATATATTTAGTTTTATAGCTTTTTTTATAGTTGATAATTTTCGTAAACTGCCATTTTCGTAAAATTACTTACTAATCTGTAAATATTTACATCTTCTTCAGACACATGTCATAATAATATGTATCTTGAAAAATAATTTTGTAAATAATATAACTCGTTTACATGACTAGGACTTTTATGAAAAACAGGTGGTGCTAGTCTTACATTGTGTAAAGACCTTTTAGATCCTATACAAGAGAACCCTTTTTCCAATGTTACTTATCATTATAGTATTATGCTCCTTAAATTCTTATTTATATATATCATTAATGCCTGACAATTTATATTCTGAAATCACAATGAACTGAAACAAATGCTTGTCCTAAGAAATAAGGTAAATATAATTATTAAAGTCCAGTTTAAAAAAGTTCTAGACTTTAAATTATATAATTTGGACGAAGTAATAAAGTAGAAGAAAAATGTTGCATACGGCATTCGTGTACACCACAATTTTGGGTGGGGCAAAGTTCTTTAGAGAATGTGACATTCTCCTTTATGTCATAATTGAATTACTTAATTTCTATTAAAATAGGTGTTGAAATATTTTTCAAAAATTACTTGATGTTTTTTTTTCTTGTATATATTTAGTTATAATATTTAAAAAAAAACCAAAGAGCAATAAAAACCTTGCTTCAAATAATCTAAACAAATTTATTTTTCGACCCTAAGAAAATAAAAAAAATTAAGAAATATCACAAGCTGAAGGTAACAACTACATCTAAACAGTTAGATTAAAAATTTTATCCCCTATTTCTCCACCCTTTAGGATAGAATTTCTTATTCATATTTAATAGAACCACCCTTAAAGTATAGCCAATTTAATATAAAAAAAAAAAACATTAAACTTAATTCAGAATTGGTGAAGATTACTCACAAACATACAAAAAAAACAGTTGAATTCGAAGCATCCTCATATTTTGAAATTGGCCCTCTAGATAATGCGGTCAATATTCATATAGTTGTTAGTTTGTTATTTTTTTTTATTCTATTACAATTTTTTCATTAAATGAAAATAAAATCATAATATCATAAACTAAAGTTTCATCTGTAAGTCCTTACCTATCATACCCAGGTATTGGAGATCCAATGTGAAAGCTGCAGTATAAATTATCTGATTCACTTGAAGCCCTTTGCCTTCTTCGTCCCTCAATGTTAAATTTTGGATCTTGATATGGTCTACTTTTGGGTTTCTTAAGAATTCCTTGTGGTGGAGATTTTGGTAAAGGATTATTGAGTATTGGCTTTAATGGCTGCTTCACTGCAGACACATCCATCATTTCGTGGTCTACTCTTTCTAAAAGTTCTTCTACTTTAGGTAAACGGCTGTCATCCACTTTTGAATTTGACATAGGAGTTACTAAAAATGGTCTAGTAGGACTTGATCGATGTAACTTTGATCTAGCTGCCAGATAGCTAAACAAATAAAATTTATATGAGATTTAAAAACCTCTTATTGTTAAAGAAAATTAATACAATTGAAATTAGACTATATTACTTTGTATGATACAACTAAAATTTTGATAGTATGTAACCACATAGCTATTGTAAATTTTAAAATCGTTTGACGTTTATGAAATGTTAGGTTATGTCAAATGCTTACCTATGATGCCTCTGCTGGTCGTGTGACATAGCGTAGTCACCGTTTTCGGCGGCGGCAAATGAACACTCGTAATGGTAGCGATCGAAACGCTCCTGAGCGCCGTTTAGGGTAAAGTAACTTTTGTTAGGCTGGGTGCGTTGGTAACGAGAATTATAATCCGCTGACCGGTTTAATTCGCGCGTCACATCCTCGTAGGGTGACCTATCCACTCCTTCGCTGCGACACCGTCGCCGAAGTACACGAGCTGGCCCCCGACCAGACAACTCCAAGACTGATCCTACAGAATCGCACGCGTCAAAGTTTCCCTCAAAGTTTGAGGATGCACGTCTGTTATCCATATCAGACGTGCCTGCCCACGACACGTGATCTAGTGTCCACATTGATCACTAAACACACCACGAATTTCACTGTTGCACTAGTAATTTTATTGCATACATCCAACGAAGCTCCAAACGGCGTCGAGGTTGAGGGACGACAGCTGACAGAACACCCTTATACGTTTATGAAACGTGCCAGCTCTCCCGCCAAAATTGAAAGAAAAATACGTTCTTTTTATGAATTTGCCAAATAAATCAAAACAAACACAAACTATTTAAACGAACTTTGTCACACACTAGCATATTGTAGGTATTTTTCTATGCATTCATAGCAATGGGCAATGGCGATCGGTAAAAATTTGTAAATATTCTAGTTGATCAACTAACAAGTAGGTAGGTAATAGCTATTGATTTTCTTGTTTTAAATTTTAATGCATATTAACATTTTAAAACTGTAAAAAAATAAAATGTAACTGTTAATGATATTATTTTACATTAAAATGTAATTAAAAATGTTAAATTGAGGGTCAGGGTTTGAGATTGAGTGATGAAGTGAAATCATAGACACAAATTATCAAAGTTGTAATCATAGATAAGCTAATATAATCGGGAAAGTGAAAATAATTTATCATAGTGTTTGCGGGGCTACCAGCTTCTCAAAAAAATACCAAGGATATATACTTGTATAACATATATATATTACAATATATATACTTATTGAAATATAGCCCTAAATCACTGACTATCTGACTAATGCTGGGGCCACAGTAACGAGAAACGTCAATGCCCATAAACGCAACAATTATTGCCTTAATATTAATGCGGTTTTGGCGGGAACTCAACCGGCGGCGGCTTGCTGCTCCTTTATTATTGTTTAAATAGTGGTTTGAAGTGGACTTTGATATGTAAAAGTGGTGCGATTTTGTGTATTAAGTGTCTGCGCATGTGAACTATTAGTGGAAACTGTGAAACAAGTGCTCCGATGGTGATGGATTCTCAAGATAAGCTGTTTCTTTGCATAGGTACCTTTAGATACCATCGCCAACTGTCAGCTGCCTGCTGGCTCAAGTTGCAGTCAAAATCTCCCAAGGCTGCACAATGTGACGCATCAACATATTGTGAAGCAGTGAAATATGAAGGATAATTATACATGAAGACAAAGCTGTATGGCATAGTTCCTTTGCCTGCTCTTTCGAGCGAATAATAAAAACAACAACAACTTAATTTTAATTTTTTTTTTTTGGAGTTTATGGCCTGGCATCTAGACCTTTAGGCCAAGTCTTGAGTATTTTTATTCGGTTTATTATAATTTCCCCACTGTATTTTTGATGAATTTATATAGAGGCACGTAATAGGATCTATTTTTTAACATATCACTCAGGCGGCGGGAGGGATCTTGCACTGTCACTTGATTTTGCACTATGTCACTAATTTCACTGACAAGAATCAATCTGTCAAATGAAAAGCACTCACATGTAAATATGAAATGTTCGATATCACCAACAGAATTATTGCAGAAGGTGCAGTAACTGCTCTCCACTATGCCCAATCGAGCCAGGTGGGCCGGGACGGTGGAGTGACCAAAGCGCAGTCTATTTATAGTGGTAACAAAGTCCCGACTGGCCATTTTCAGTTTGTTATACCATGGTGCTACAGGTAGTTTTTCTTGAACAGTTCCATACCATTTACCCTTCTGTTCTTGATCTTGTTTCCAAAATTCGACCTGGCTATTGACCTGGTTGTCAATAGATTGATAACAGTCGGTCAAAGGTACTTTTACTATGGAGCTAACATCCAACATGTTGGTTCCATCACGTGCAATTTTATCTACTATCTCATTTCCTGTTATGCCCCTATGTGATGGAATCCACATGAAAGAGACCTGTATACCCTTTTTTGCATAACTAAATAACAATTTTTTAATATTATACAAAATATAGTTTTTTTTAAAGTCAAATCTGAGATTAGTTAAACTTTGGACCATACTTAAACTGTCTGTTAAAATTAAAAACTTATTAAAACTATTTATATGTGCAATCCTCTTCAGGGCCTCGAGGGCCGCATATACCTCTGCAGTGAAAACACTGCATTTAGGGTCCAGAAGAAAACTTTGACCAAACTTGCATTGTGGATCATAAACGGCACTGCGCACAAAGAGCTCACTTTTGCTACCATCTGTATACAAAGTATAGTAGTTATTGTCGGAAATAAAACTTAATAATTCACAATTATTAAAAAAATTTTTGGTAACAATATTGGTCTCAAATATAATACAGGAATATGGGTATGTGTAGCATGTCCACTTTGATTGTTTAATTACATTTTTAAAATCTTCATTCATTTGCTGTACAATGAGAGGCAAAACTGGAAAATAACCTTGTAAAAGCTCACCTCCCGAAGTCTGCTGGACCGAGCATTGTAAAGGAAAAGGTACTATTTTTTTGAGAACATTATCATTACCAGATACCAGCTTTAGTAAATATCTCTCTATTAGCAGAAGTCTTCTAAGACACAGTGGCATTATTTTGGTTTCAACTTCCATAGCTCGTATGGGAGTTGAACACATAGCCCCAGAAATAATTCGCAGAGCTTTGTTTTGAATTATGTCTAGTTTTTTTACACAACTACTATTTGAGTAGGCTAAACAACTGTAGTCGAAATGGCTTCTGACTATAGATTTATATAGCATACTTAAAACTTTGGGGTCTGCACCCCAAGTCACACCAGCTAAACATCTTATAATATTTAAGCCCTTAAGAGAGTTAGTTATAATGTGATTGATGTGTAAATTAAAACAAAGTTTGTTATCAATGACAACACCCAGGAATTTATGGTTAGATACAACTGAAATTGGATGATTATTGTAGAGTATGCCATTAGAGGGAAAATCTTTACTAAAAATCATGGCCTTGCTTTTGTTAGGGTTAATCTGTAGAGCCAACTTGTCATTATAATATATGTACAATTGCTCTAAAGCATTATTTATACTATTTACAGCTCTATCTACATTATGGTCTGTACAATATATTACAAGATCATCCGCAAATTGTAAAATATTTACACCTTCTATATTTACAAAATTAAGAATTTGACTAGTGTATATGTTGTACAACAATGGAGATAATGTAGCCCCCTGCATTGTACCTTTGGAGACCCTTCTGGGACCATGGAGAATATTATTATGCCTTATATACAAAGTTCTATCTATTAAAAAATTAAATAACCATTGGCAAAGTATGCCTGGTATACCAATGTCAGAAAGAACTTGAACCAAAATGCCAGGATCTACATTATCAAACGCACCTTCAATATCCAGAAAAACACAAACACTGGACTTATTATTATTATTGGCATATTTCAGATCTGACAAGAGAGAGATGAAGCTGTCAGCACAACTTCTGCCTCTCCGGAAGCCATATTGAACATGTGGAATGATGTTGTTCGCCTCTACATAACACTCAAGACGCATCTTTAACATGTTTTCATTAAGCTTTCCAACACAAGATGACAAAGATATAGGACGATATGAATTAGGATCTTCAGGTGGCTTGTCAGGTTTAAGTAGAGGGATTACACACTGTGTTTTCCAAGATTCAGGAATTTTTTTTAAGTGCCAAAGAGCATTAAGATTAGCTAATAGTTTCTTTTGTACGGACTGATTTAGGTTTTTGATCAAAATGTATGGACAATTATCTAAACCAGGGGTTGTGTTTCGTCTGGATTGTAAACTTGTACAAAACTCACTCCAAGTAAAGGGTTCTATGAGGAAACTGGACTTCTGAAGACTATTATTAATTTGAAAATAAATTTCTAGATTATCAATAACCCTACATCCATTTCGAGATAATTTGTCTAAAAGAGGGACTACAAATTCGTCTTTATATGTTCTATTATTGCATTTTATTCGTTTAAATAACTTGATGTATTTCCAAATAATACTAACAGGTGTAGTTCTGTTAAAAGTATTACAAATGTTAGCCCAACCATTGCTTTTATGTTCTGAAATAGTCTTTTTCTTAACAGCATTAAGTCTTTTGTAATTAATGTAATTATCAATGGTTGGATCTCTTCTGTACAGTTTTAAAGCTTCATAAGTTTTAATAACACTCTGTTCACATGTGTCACTCCACCAAGGTGCTGGAGGTTTGCAACGATAGTTGTTTGCTTTGACAAACTTTGGCACAGTATCTCTCCTAAGTGTATCAAGCCTTTCAATAAATTCATCATATGACTGTAATGGATTCTCATTATTAACTTCAAAATTAGAAAAAGCAGTTATAGACAGCTCATTGTATTTTGTCCAGTCTGTCTTGTTGTATAGGAATTTTTCAATGGGAGGATTAATTTGGTATCTATCAACTGACAATGAAACACGAGTAAGCGTAGGAAAATGATAGCTCCCCATACAATCATCATGCACCCACCATTCGCATAGTGGAGTGATTGAAGCACTACAAAAGCTGACATCAATAGCCGATGGATTTCGGTTAGGATAATTAATAGTAGTGAAGCTACCATTGTTGAGGACACATAGATCAAATTCATCAATTAAATCGTATAACTGATGACCCCGACTTTTCGTGGTCATACACCCAAATGCCACATGGTGAGCGTTGAAATCTCCAGCCACATATATTGGCTTAGGCAAATCTCTAATTATATCACGCAGTTTACTTATTCTGAAGTTACCATTCGATGGAGGGCAGTATACACATAAAATCGTTAATTGTTTACCACTTACATATAACAATAATGCCACAGTCTGAATGTCTTGGTAAAATCTGGTTTGAATAATATTATATTTAAAATACGGTTTGATCAAAATTGCTACTCCACCATGCTCATTTTGGGCATTATGATAGTGGAAATTATATCCCGAAATGTTAAAATGCTGAGTATCTTTCAGCCAAGTTTCATTGAGTAGACAGATATCAACATTTTGCTCATCTAAAAATTTAGACAATAAGGATTTTTTCCTATGTATACTTTGAATATTGTACTGAGCTATACATAACTGATGTATGTTCTGTACTGTACTGTCCATTATTGTGACAGATTTTTTA